GGGATGGGGGATGGGGGGAGGGGCGGCAGCGGAGGATAGGGGGGTGGGGATGAGGTAGCGAGGTGGCGAGGTGTCGGGTAGTGACGGGTGGGGGCGGTTGCAATGTTTGATACCGGCTCTGCAATGGTGCTGGTGCGGTTTGCCGCAAGTTGCCGCCAGGTCACAGCCTTGGAACGCCCCAGGGACAAACATGGTTGCTGCCACCTGTTGCAGCTCACCCCGACGTTGGCAATGACAAAGGGCAGCACGGCCAACTGCTTTGCGGCGTAGTAAGCGCTGACGCTGTGCGCGGGTGATTTCAGCAGGCGTATTGTGAGGTGAGACAGCGGCTGGGCACTTCGTAACATCAGGATGTTTTGGCTCCAGGTGGACTCGCCGCATCCATTTGTGTAAAATATCCCCGCGTCAGCTTTTCTCTTCCACATGCGCGCACACAACACACGCTCCCGCACACACATGCATACACACAGACAAGCACACACAGAGCACTGACCTGTACAGCCGGGCGCTGAAGTCTGCCACACAGGTCTGCTTGTCCTGTGCGTAGAGGCTCATGTACACAAAGGGCATCAGCAGCAGGCACATTGCGTTGATGTACAGCAGGTTGATACGGTTCCTTTAATGGGTGGCAGTTTGGGGGGCAGTTCGGGCAGGGTGGATGAGACTGGGGAAGAAGGGTGGGTGGGATTGTGTTGGGGTGATCCAGGAGGATGGTTGAGGGTGAGTCAGGAGGGCGGGTGGGCGTAAGTCAGGCTGATGTGCGGTGCCCAGTGTGTGTCCAGAGGATGGGTAGGGCGTGTCAGGAGGATGGGTGGGAAAAAGTTGGGAGGATGGGTGGCGGTGTGGCAGGTATGGCTGGGGGTGTGTGGTGCAGGATGGGTGCGTGCAGAGTGTGGGGAACATAGCATCAGCAGGAAAACAAAAATTGAATGCTTGCAGCGTAGGTCTTCGGGCGGCGAGCGTGGGCGAGCACCCGAGCATGGAAGGGCCGATACGGCCAGGCAAGCCGGCGGTCAGGTCAGGTCAGGTCCAGGCGTGGGCAGTGGGGGGGGCGCGAGACGCCCCCCATCAGGCCGCTGTGTCACGGGCAGCCGGCTGGCAGTTTTGCGCACGCTGTGTCTGGGCCTGGTGGCTTGCACCCATCGCCAGTGTCTGGGCCTGGTGGCTTGCACCCATCGCCAACGCCAAAAACCTCCCTCAACGCGTGCAGATTCATTCTCAGCCGCAGGCAGCGGGCCGCCCACCTCATGCCGTCGACGCCCTCATCCAGGTTCCAGTAGACAGTGCCAGTGAAGACAGCCAGGATGCAGAAGCACATCATGCGGCCTGAGGGGCAGAGATTTTGACGGATTAAGATATCATATCTCACCCCAGACCTCATGACTCCTCTAGCATATCGCAATTTGCGCCAGCGCTGCGGAGCGCGCCAGGCCGGGCTGCTAGGAGGTTGAGCGGGAAGCTCGCTTTTGGCAGGCGAGACATGGCTCGCAGGCGGCGGCTCTCACCAGCCACGTCAACCGGGTTGCGCATCGTCGACAGCAGCTCGCGCCATAACAGCATCCTTGGGGGGCGGCATGCAGCGTGTGCGTTGGTGAGGCCGCTCAACTCCCAAAGCATGTCACATGCCTAGGAAACCCATGAAACAACGTGCAAACCACGTTGCGAGGTTGGCAGCGCGCAAGGCAGCCGCATGGGGGCTAGGGGCCCCCCATGCTCGCGGCTGGGAGGGGCAAGCAGGCAGTCCCCTGTCAGGTGGGTCCCTGAAATATCCACCACCTGGGCAGCCCTGCGACCACAAGCAAGACATGTCGTGCCAAGGCCGACCAACCACCACCAACTCTAAAGCACAGGCCCGGCCCACCTGAACTGCATCACCCAGGTTGCCCTGTCGCCGCTGCCCCCAGCATCGCAGCGCGCCGCAGCCCCGGGCGCGCCCAGGCTTGCGGGCACCAAGCCGCCGCCGCTGTCATTGTGCTTCGACCCGGCGTCGCGCGCTCGCAGCCTCTTGCCATGCGCCGCTGCCGACGCCACCACGCCTGCGCGCCCCCAGCCAAGCTCTGTGTCCAACTCCCCGTCGCTGTCCGTGCGCCCGTCGCCGCCGCTCGCGTCGCCGTGCGCGGCGCACGCGCTGACGCCCTTGGCGGCGGCGCCGCCCGCGCGTGTGCGACGCTGGCCAGTGGCGTCGGGCTCGGCGGCGGCCTCCAAGGCCGATGCGTCGCGGCCGGCGCGGTAGGTCACCGAGAACTTCTGGGCTGCGGCGCGAAGTTCTTCGTAGCTGTTGATGGTGCGGCCGTGGTCCTGAGCGGAATGACGGATAATTGACAAAAGACGAAAACGCGTGACTTGTCGGCACGGCCAGCCACCAGAGCTCAGGTGCACAGCTGCGGACATGCGCACGACCCTGGCTGATGCGTGGCTCCAGCGCGCCTTGCGTGCAGTGTCTAGAAGGAAGAACAAATAAGGAGCCCCACAGGCATCACTCAAACCCGGCCCCTGCGTGCACACTCAATGCGCCGCAGGACAAGCGCTCGGCAGGCAGGTCCTGGACTGCAGGCCGCCCATAACCGCCCACCACTGGTTTGGTAAACTCCACCGAAACGAGGTCCATCGCCCAGTCGCTGACGATGCCGTGCACCGCCGGGTTCCAGGGCCCGAGCCCGAGCCCCGCCTCGAACCACTCCCCCATCGCGCCGCGCGGGCCGTGGTACAGGAGCAGGCCGTGGGCGAGGAGGGTGCACGCGTCAAAGGCGGCAAAGACGGCCGAGCAGGGCTGGTGGATGGAGGCGATGACCGTCAGGCCGGACTCGAGGGCGGTGCGGCGCATGAGGCTGACCACCGCGAAGGCCGCGCAGCTGTCCAGGCCCGTCGTCGGCTCTGCAGGGGGTGGGGGTTTCGGGGCAAGGCGTGGCGGCGACGTGAGCGCCAAGAAGCGCCAGCAAAGCAGGCGCGAGGCATGTGCCAGTTTGCGGGGCACCGCAGCTGGTCCGGCGGCGCAGCCTTGAGTGGCGGCCCGTGAGCCCTGCCGAGACTCGTTGAGGTGGCACACGAGAGCGCCGTCTCCCAGGCTCGTGATACGTTGGATATTATGACGGCTTCTCAATAAATTTGAGTGAATTGAAGCAGTCAAACGGGGAGGGCTGGCGTTTCATGTGTGGACTGGGCTGGCCCGCACCGTCCAGGAACACAACGCTCGGCGTGGCGATGATCCCGACCGCCACACACAGCCGCTTGCGCTCGCCGCCGCTGAGGCCGCGCAGCAGCAGGCCGCCGGGCAGGACGCCGCCCACGAGGCGGTCGTGCGCCTGCACCATGCCCTGGGGTGATTTGTGCAGACGGCAGCGGGGCGTTGACTGGGGTCAGAGGAGTGTTGACCGGCGTGCGGTCAGGCCAGCGCCCTCACTTACGGCAACGTGGGGGTCAAGAGGAAACCGTGGATTGACTATATGAGCGCTGGGCCTTGCGGCACGATCACTCATGAGTGCGTTGCGTTTGCCTGCCACCATGTCTCCGAATCACACTACGCACGTGTGCACGTGCGAATACAAACGCGCATGCACACGCAAGGGTTGCCGAGCTGCCCACCTTGAGACCCACCAGAATCTCGCCAACTCTTGCATGTTTGCGCGTAGACATGGGCGTGCCAATGCGCGAGCGCACGCACGCGCACACACAGACACAGACACACACACACACACACACACACACACACACACACACACACACACACACACACGTGCCAATGCAGATTGGCACGTGTCTGCATAAACACATCAGCCGCCCACCATAGCGTGCAGGACCTCCTCCACCCTTGCTGCTGCCTGGTCCGGCGACGTGTTCCGCGGCAGCGTGAGGTTGGCGTAGAGGCGGCAGGTCTCTGCCACGTTCAGAATGGGCAGCAAGTTGTCCTCCTGGGGGATGGGAGTCGAGTTTTTTTTGGGGGGGGCAAGTGTGAGGTGCAGGAGGGCAGCTGCCCGGTGCAACATGAACGGTTGGAGTTGAGTGACGGCGCATTTGAAGTGATCGGCAATTGGTTGCAGAGATGTAGGATGTCAAAGCTGTGAGACACTGCAAAGCTGGGGTGCGGCACCGAAGGTCCAGGATGACAACACACACACACACACACACACACACACACACACACACACACACACACACACATTCACACTGTGCTGACAGACCTGAACAACACTGCCTCTCAGATGTTGGGTCGTGCATGTGCGCACATGTCACCCACCTGCGGCACGTAGCTGGAGATGCGCCTGAACCCTGCAGAGGTGCGGGGCCGGCCGTTCACGCGCACGTCCCCCGACAGCCGCCCCGTGCTCTTGCGCGCCGCGAGCATGTCGATGAGGGTGCTCTTGCCGGAGCCGCTCGGGCCCATGAGCGCCACCATCTCCTTGGGCCGCGCCTCGCCGCTCACGTCCTGCGCACCCAGACGCGGGCCAAGGGCGGGGGCGAAGGTGAGAATTGCAGCGCGTTGGGGATTTGGCCGCTCATCTGCGCGGAGGCCCGTGGGGCAGGGGAGGCCTTGTCGGGCTCCCAGCGGCGTGCAGCGTGAGGCTGCCAGGCGTGCGTTTGTCGATCGTGCTGGTAGGATTGGGCGGGGGGATTGAGGAGGGCGCACCTGCAGGACGGCCTTCACGCCTTCATGCGTGTTGTACTCACACCCCAGCCCCTGCCACGTCAGCACCGCCGGCCTCGCGGCCCGCGGCGCCGCGGGCGCGCTGCGGGGCCGCCCTGCGGCGGGCGCCTGGGCGTCCCCCTCAGCGGCTGGTGACTTCGGCGTCGCCGCGGCGGCGGCAGCGCCGCCGCGCTTCCGGCGGCGGCCGCAGGCCAGCAGCCGCGACTTGGCCTCGTTCCACAGTTTGGGGTTCCATGTTGCAAGGCCGGTGCATATGAAGAAGAGGGTGTAGAGCAGTGCAAACGCCAGGAAGGGCACCCAGATCGCGGCACGTTGGGTGACCGATAGCAGCATGGTCGATTCGCTGCGCGGCTGCGGTGCGTGGGCGCGGCGGGCGGCCCCGGGTGCGCAGGGGCAGATGTTTGTCAGCGCACGCCGCGGCGGGGTGTCAGGCGGGGGCGCCCTGTGCGCGGCAGAGGCACGCAATGATTGTTCGGGCTGCGGGACTCCAGGGTTGCATGCCTCCACCGACACGTGTCCAAAACAGCACCGCGGTGGCGCCATCATGCGCTCAAAGCTGTTTGATGCCATCATCATGCGCTGGTTCTGCCGTGCCACCTGGATTAACGGGGGCGGCCTGGTGACGCGGCGGAGTGGGCCGTGCGAAGTGCTGCGTCGCTCTCTCGACTGGCGTCGTGCCGCGTGGGTGCTGCCGACGATGCTGGTGCAGGCTCGTGGGTGATATCTTATATCGCTGTGTGGCGCCTGGGCTGCGTGTGGTCGGTTGCTGTTGTGGTCTGGGCGATTTGCGCGGGCCGATCTATTTGCGGGTTACGCGCGGCAAAAGTCAAAAGAACCGTAGACACAAAAGGCTCCTAGCGAGATGGACCAAGCCTCCGGGACAGACAGCGTGTGGTGCTTGACTGCGGAAGAGGCGGGACCATCGGTGTGCCGGACACGGCCGAGGTCTATTCCAACGTTCCTTGCCACGGGATCTCAACGCTATGATCGCGCACCTGAATCACACATACCGTACCGCGCTCAGCGACCTGACACCCTTGGGCCAGGTGACGGATGACTGTACGCACAGGGTGCAGCCAGCTATCGGACCGGATGGCGGCCAGGGACGGCTTGGCGGGCAACTTGCTGATTGCAATGCAGCACGACAGGGGCGCCAGGAATGCTGCGCTGCGAAGAGAAAGTCATGCATACTGGTAGCTGGTCCAAGTGTGTTTGCTGTCATCTCCGGGACCTCGTTAAAGACAAATACAGGCTCGGCAGCAAGTGCAGTTCGACGCGCGGCGGCGGAAGCAAGCAGCCTGGCTCACACGTCAGTTGGTGAGGGGCATCCCATCACAGATGGCAGGATACATTATCGTACAAGCAAAGCTATGAGATGAGTGAGCATGCACCTTCGGGGGCAGGAGCCAACTGGTTGTGTGCGCATGCAGATGATTGCGGCGCAATCACGCGGGTGCGGATGATTCTGGCCACCCTGCAAAAATGCGAGCCTGCGCACCATCACACCCACAGTCACAGGCGCGTCTAACAGCATGCTTAGCATCCGCATGCCGCTGGCTGCTGGCGTCCTGTGCAAACAAGCCACCGCTAAAAGCAGAGGTGGGGGCCATTTGTCATCCCCACCCCAGAAATCACAGCGCAGGCACAGGCGCACACTCAGCATCGCCCGACCAGCCAGCTGGATGGCGTGGTCAAGGCGCCGGCAGCGCCTCAATAACAACATACAGCCCCGTTGTGGGCACCACCCGCCGCAGCCGCCAGCCCGCCGCCGCCAGCAGCGCACCAAACTGCCGCTCATCCCGCTCCTTGGCGGACCCGAAAACCATCATCATGGTCATGTCGCTGACGTGGCGGTGCTTGAGGTTGCAGGGCAGGATGGCGTCGGACAGCGTCGCCTCGACGATCAGCAGCGCGGCAGGCGGCGACCCGCGCCGGCGCCGCTTCTCGCTGCGAACCGAGCAGCTGGTGGCGGCCGCACCGTCTTTCTCTGACCTGCCCGCAGCCTGCCGCCCCTTGGCTTCGGCCTCCACCCGTCGGCCATTCTGCTGCCGCTCCTCCTGCTGCGATTGCACGGGTGCGCCGTCCGCCTGGCTGACGTCGCCACCGCCGCCACCGACGATTTCTATATGCTCCCTGATCGCCCCGAGGATCGCCAGGCAGCTCTTGTCATCCCAATCTGTCGCATCCGCAGCGCCGAGCAAAGCGCAGGGTTCAGGCGCCAGCAGAGGGCAGGGCTTAGGGCTAAGTACAGGGTGTTGTTCAGGGTTTCCAAAGGGAAGGGACCAGCAGCAACGCAGAAGCGAATGTGGGTCGGCTCAATGGCCTCATGAGGGCACGCGGCACCCACAAGCATGGACACGTGGGGTGAGCAGCACCTGCTGTGCGGCAGCGGCTAGCCAGCACCCTGCTTTACGGCCACCTTGCCTCAGGTGCGCGCACACACGCTCCGCGTTCGGACAGGTTCACTGGACCAGGGAGCGGCGTGTGCCACTGGCCAAGGAGGATGCCAAACCCCTCTGCATAACCCCGGCCCCTCGCCGTCCCACTCTCCGCTTCGATCGCCCCCCCCCCCTCACACCATCCCCACCTCCCGCCACCACACCTCCCAAATTCTCACCATGCAGGATATTGCGCAGCACGTACGCGACCTTTGCCCCGTCGCCCGCCGCTGCGCCCGCCGGGAGCGTGGACGGGTCAAACATGTCACCTGCGGCGAACGACGCCCTTGGCAGCAGCGCCGCGTGCTGCTCCCGCCACCACTGGGGTGCATGCAGAAGAAAGGGCGTTCGAGGCAGGGAGTGAGAGGCGGACGGCGCCGGCAGGGGTGCGCACGCTTCGCACAGGCTGGAATTAAATGAGGGCTGGTGGCGCTGACCAGGCCCATCCAAGCGCAAGCACCGCAAACGCGTGCCCACACATTTCAGGTGTACGCAGGTCGCGCACGGATCCACGGCATGAGTATGCAGCATGCCTAAGGGAAACCCTGAGGCGGGCCTGCACTGCAAGGGCACAGGAATCTGAGCCATCCAAAGAAAGCACAGACTATGTCGGGCACGTGGCAGGGGCCCCCTGAATTCTGCACCAGAAACCAGGGGATCAAAAGGGCACAGCAGCGCTGCAGGCCCGCCGCTAGAGCGCTGCTTGCAGCGGACGCGCTCACGCGCATGCGGCTTTGAGGGGCCGCGCTCTCACCTGCTTCCCGCGCTCCACCTGCGGCGCGAGGTCGAACAGCGTGCCGCGCAGCTTGGGGTGCGCGGCCAGCAGGCGCGCAAGGAACTGGCCGTTGCCACCCGCCACGTCAACCACATGGTCAAACCTAGGGGCCAGCGGGGGTTGACCTTTGAGATCGGCGCAGTCGACCGTGACAGACGCACGCCAATCTGGATCTTGGATGACGTGGTGCAGGTTCCACTGCCATATCTGGAAGTAAGGCCCCAGGGACGTGTGCAAAACAGAAAGGGGGGAGCGGAGGCGAGCAGGCAAGGCTGCTAGCAGGGAGCACATTGCACGAGGCTTGCGCCAGGCACCGGGCGAGCCAAGCGGTGCGCCCGGGCCGACCACCTTCTCCAGGGGTAGGCGCGGAGGATGGAGCCGCCGCTGATGTTGTCCACCTGCAGTGTGAAAAGGGGGGGCGGGGGCCTCAGGAAGGCAAACCTCGGCAGCAGCCACCCACTCGTGTTGAATGCGGAGGTCAGCGACCGGCAGGAATGCAGCAACGAAAGTTAAAGCTGCTGCAAATGAACTGCCTCGACCAGCCATCAGGCATCTTGAACAATGCAGAATCTGGCCCTGCAGCCCTCCCGCTCGCTCCGCTTGGCGCGTCGCCGCCAGCCCCAATATCATTGATGAGTCAGGTCTCGTCGCGTCGCGCACACACGCGCGCGCACTAACCTGCCGCATTGCGCCGTCAAAGGTCTTGGCGTGGCGCTCGCTGTCCGCGACAACGTCGAAGAAGCTGCGGCCCTTGGAAAGCTCCGTCAGCTTGAAAGGCACAACGCCGCGCCGCAAGCCCTGCGCGTCGCGCGGACATGGTGCGCAGGGTCGTGATGTGCAATATTAGGATTAGGATTAGGATGGTTACAAGATCCCGCGGTCGCCCGCTCCTGGAGCCATCCAGGTTCTTGGGATATGACTTTGTGAAGGGCTGCGGCCGCCCGGCTCGGCGGTGGATGGGTTGCGTTGACATCAAGAAAGCGCAGCAGGCCGGCAAGGACGTCACACCCGAAGACACGCCAACGGGCCGCCCGCCACCTCAAAAGTTTTGTTGACCAAGGCCGCCACCACACGCCGGCACGCAGCCCGTGCGCGGTCGGCTGAACCCGTCCATTGAAAAATCCACCGTTATCACACCTCAGACGCGGCACGCTGCCATATACTGGCTATGCCATGTGGTGCTTGAAAGATCCTACTCTGATCATGCAGATAATCAGAGATCACACAACACACTACACCGTTCATACATGCATACACGATGCAGAGACGACAAAGCATAACGTATACACCATCCACGCTGTGACTGACCTCGCTAAGGTGTGCCAGGCCATCATAGTGGTCTTTGAACAGCGCGACAAAATCGCCCATCCCGGCAGGGTGGTCGGGCAGGAGGCAGGCGGACACTGCGTTGAGCGCAAACGCATCCCCCAGCAGCCCAGCGCCTGCAGGAGCAGAGAGCACGCGCGAGTGCAATTCGGGGGTGGCGGGGGCGCACTGGACTGCGACCTGTAGGAGTGGCTGCTGGCGTTGATGCTGATCAATGACGCTGCTGGCGGTGCTCAAAAAAAAGCGTTCAGGAGGCGCGAGCGTGCTGGCTGCCAGGGTCGGCAAGGGGCGGAGCCTCCGTCGGAGGTTGGACTCGCAGCCTTCAAACCAGGGGCTCCCTGTCAACAGGAAGAATTTGGGAGCCGACCGCAGCGGTTGCTAGCGCGCGGTGACGCCACCATGTCGTTCGGACCCCACCCAACTTACCTGCGGGGACGCCGTGGTCCTCGCCCCCGCTGTCTGGTTCAGATGGGACGACTTTGGCCGCGGCCGCTTTTCGCCACCACGACACTCTTCTGGAGGCCGGCAGCCGCGTCACCAGCCCGAACGACGCGGCCGCACGCATGAGCCGCTCAACCCATTCGGGGTCAGCAGCCGGGCAGGCGGCCGCGGCGATCTGGCGGGCGGTCCTGGGGCCGCCCCCGAGGGCGTCTGGTATGCGAAGCTCGTTCAGGGTGAATAAGACCTGTGATAGCAAATTGGAACGGATGAGCACAGATGGTTGATTGAGGTGATTGCGGATGCCAAGGCCTGCATGGATTGCGCAGCTGCATGCTGGGTCGTCGAGCGAGGGGCGGCGACTAGAGAGGCCAGAGGGAGCGTGCAAGCAGTGGCTGCGTAAGCTGCGCCGTCAGCCGGGCGGTTTGAGGACCCCGGATATTCTGTGTGCCTGGCAAGGCGTCCCGCGCAGCGCTTGCAACTGCACGCGCAACTGCTCGGCAACTGCCAGGATGGGCCCGGGTGCGCCCGGCTGTCGCGGCCGCGGCGCCCACCGACCTGAGACTGCACGTAGAGCCCGGTGACCTCGGCCACCCTGAACGGCCCGGGCTTCATCGCCGCCAGCCGCTCGCACGCGCCGAAGAACGAGCAGATGACGCGGAACGCCGGGAACGGTAGCGCCGCCACTGCGCCGTACGAACGGAACCGGGGGTCCCACGGGCGTGACACGAGGACGCAGACGAGGGCTAGGGCCCCCAGCAGCAGCGCGCCGGCGCCGAGGGCGGCCTGGCGGGCGGACAGGCGGGGCGGCGCGATGGGCGAGCGGGGTAGCGGGGCGTTCGGCGCGGCGACGGGTGGGCTGGCGGCGTCTCAGCAGGGTGCGGCGGCGACGACGAGCGGGGACGACAACCGCGCATGGGGAACTCACCAGCGCCAGCAGGATCGCCGTGGCGATGTGGTCCATATCTATCGCCCTGCACGATCGAAAATCAGTCCACCTTTCGCGATCGAACACCGAATACCGTACGGGCATAACGCGAGCTCAACCGGTGAGCACACCGTCGACAGTTGCAGTCAATCGCATCCTGATGTTCGGGCCTGCATATGAGTGAAACGTTGTTGCGGGAGTGTCTTCAGGAGGAGGGGCGCGCGGCGCTCCGTGCCCCGAGGTCTGGTGTGTCCGCAGTGACACTGACCAAAAGGCTGGCGGGTGTGTGAATGCCTGTCGTGCGATAAACGATGGCCAAGCAGACGTACTCACACTCGTCTCTGCTTGCGTGATCAGGTACATCTCCCATGCATACAAAGCGCGCACACACTGCAGCACGAACACTCACAACCACAATCCACTCTGCCTGCCCAACTGAACATGTACCCGACCTCACCCCAACGCAACAGCACTCATGTTGAGAGGCACACTGCTGACGGAACCAGCTCAGTAAGACCTGATTCAATCTGGATCCCCAAGGCAGCTGGCGTGTTGTGCTGCCGGCAGGGCCTGCACGTGACCCACCTGGCATGCTCGGGGATCTCCGTCTCTTCCAGCCATCAAACCTGGACGCCTGGTTCGCCCTGGCACACCGCCTGCATCGACGAATTTCAGGGCGGATTCACACCCACACCAGCAATCTGCAGTCATATTGCAGCCATCACTGCATGCAGTCAAGGGGCTACCGGTAGGCCATGAAAAGAAAGGGAGGCGCCCATTGCGTAGACCTGGTGACCACACCCGACGCATTCAAACAGGGTTACAGTGACTTGTCATGGGCTACATGTTACAGCGCAACGTTTCGTTTACGATTGGTTATTTGTGGTAGCTTGAATCGCTTTCTCTACGCCTGATCTACCCGCTCGTAATCTCCCGTGTCCGCCATCGCCTCTGCACTATGGTGGAGGTGAAGGACTTCCGAGGCGCTGGAGAGCCGTCCTCCGCAGAAGCCGCAAAGATCGAGGCCCAGCGGGCTGCGGATGAGAAAGCACGCGCTGACGGCGCCGCCCGCGGCGCAGCGCATCACTATCGCCTCGGCGAGCTCTGCCCCACCGCTCAGCTCAACACCGGTCACAGGATCCCTCTTGTGGGACTAGGCACCTGGTGAGGCGACTCAGTTGCGCAGCAGGCGCTGCAGGGCCGCACCCCTTGGCACGTGACATCGCCCGGCCTCACTCTCTCGTGCGCGCCAAACCGCCCCGCCCCCGCATCGCTGAGCGGCCGCGACGGCCCGCCGCTCAGCTCCCCCCCTCCACACTTGCCCAGGCCTCGCACGTTTCCCGCCAAAACACTCGCAGGAAGTCTCAGAAGGGCGAGGTGCATGATGCAGTGGTGGAGGCGCTGCGGGCAGGGTACCGCCACATCGACGCCGCGGCGGTTTATGGGAACGAGCAGGAGGTGCGCGTCGCCCCCTGCCTGCACGTGCGGCGGCCGCCCGTCATGCGCCTGTCGAAACGCGTGTGGGTGCGCGTCCTTTTCCTTGCACTCGATCGCGTTGATTACGCAGCTTGGCCGGCTTCGCCGGGCGTAGCAATTGTGTGCAGCCCTGGGGTGGACGTCCCGCAGGCTTGGCGGCCTTCGCAGCTGGCCGCGGCGGCGTTCGGCCGAGGAGGCGTTTGGCCGAGCGGCCTGCTGCATCACACAGGCTTCGCCGGTGTCTCAAATGCAGCGCTCCCCGCACTCAAGTGCCAGAGCACGGTGCTGGTCCTGGATTGTTTAGGCGACCATCAATCACCCGGCTAGCCGTTTTCCCCGTCCCGCCGTCGCATTTATCTGCCTTCCGTCGCCCCCTCAGGTGGGCGAGGCGCTGTCCCAGGTGCTGTCCGAGGGCGTGATCTCTCGGGACCAGATCTTCGTGACGTCCAAGCTTTGGAACTCGGATCACCACCGCGTGCGCGACGCCTGCCTCAAGACGCTCAGCGACCTCCAGGTGCGGCCAGTACAGTGCAACAGTGGGGCGCATACCCACTGGTGGGGGCCGGATAGAGGATTGATTGCGGTAGTGAATGGTGGAGGGCGTGCCCGCCGGCGGGCCTCCTGCGACGGTTGGTGACGGGTTAACCGAAGGGCAGCGGCGCATCCCGGCGGGCCCTGCGCACCGAGCAGACTCACCAAGCCGGGGGCTGTGGCGGTGCGAAATCCCTGAGTCCTGTCACCAAATCCAGCTTGTTGCATTGGCAGCTCCCTTGTCTGTGGGATGCCTTCGCACCTGGTCTCCCTGCACTGCACGCATCTTGATCTGCAACCAGTTGGTCGGTGTTCGCAGCCAACTCCCTCCGTCTCACCCTCCCCCAAATCGCGCCCCCCAGCTGGACTACCTTGACCTGTACATCATACACTGGTGATCTTGGGATGTGATGTAGGGCCTGATCTGGGGTGTGACCTGGGTCCCGACCTGCAACATCACCACCAAGGGGCCCCGGTGGGCGCACCTGAACCAGCCACAACGTGACTGTGCAAAACGAGTTATTTGCACCCACCCCACCAGCTTGCAAGCCCATGCGCCGCGTCACGGCTCACCTTCATCCAACACCCCCCCTCCCAACCCCCACGCGCAGGCCCCACTCAGGCCGCTCCGGCCCCGAGGTCTCGCCGCCGCTGTCCGAGACGTGGGCGGCCCTCGAGGCGCTGGTGTCTGAGGGCAAGGTGCGGTCCATCGGCATGTCGAACTTCAGCCCCAAAAAGGTGGAGGCCATACTGGCGGGCGCCAAGATCACGCCTGCGGTGCTGCAGGTGCGTTCGCGCGGACGTGGGTTTTGGTGCGTGCCATGACCTGCATGCATGCGGCGCGGAGCTTCAGCGTCTTCGCGTATTTATGTGTGGTGATGCTTCGCCATGCATCACCACACAAACCCTGATGCGAATCACCCCCAGTGGCTTGTGTGCGTGCTGCGTGCACACTCACTCACGGGCCAGCATACTTGCACGTGCACACACGCACGCACCTTTACACACACACACACACACACACAGGTGGAGGCCCACCCCTACTGGCGCAATGACAAGCTCTTCAACTGGGCGTCATCCAAGGGCATCCACGTCACCGCTTACAGCCCCCTCGGGTCACCGGACAGCGCCGCCATCATGAAGCGCTCCGCGGACGCGCCCAGCCCCTTGAAGGACCCGGTCGTCCAGCGGGTGGCCGAGAAGCTTGGGTGCTCTCCCGCGCAGGTGGGGGTTTTGCATAGCCCGTGTTGACGTTTCAGCCGGGTCAATCCATGGTGTTGAATGGTGCGCTGGTGGCTGCTGCCAACAGAACCTGCCGGTCTGATTGATTCAATCACGCTTGACTGCTTGATGGTAAATTAAGCGGGCCCATAAAGGGAGGGCCCGCACGGGCAGGTCTTCGCGCCGTTGGCATCGGCGCCGCGCCTGATGCAAGGCGGCAGCTGGGGTCGAGGGGCTGCCCCGCAACTCAACGATGCAACCAAGCCGCGGCGGCCCCCTTCGCTTTGACAGGTGCTGATCCGCTGGGGGGTGCAGCGCGGCACCAGCGTGCTCCCAAAGGTGTGCAGAGGAAGCCGTTTGTTTCAAGGAGGGGAGGGTGGCTGGGGCAGCGGGCTGTGGAGGATGGTGTGCCAGATGTGTTGCCACTCTAGCTAGGAACTGCCCTTGCACCCAACGTGCTGCTGATCTGGCTTCACGCCCTGAACGCTGGGGCTTTGAACCCGTTTGCCCGGCCACAGCCAGCTTTGTCGCGCCCTGCTCTGCCCACTTCCTATGTTGACTCCGATTGCTGCCGTGGCTCCTCTGAAAAGCAAACTCCAGTTTCCGACCAAATACAATACGTACATTCACACTCAGCGCTATGTGTCCCCACACCACATCACCCAACTCCATCCTCAGAGCGTCAACTCGGAGCGCATCCGTGCAAACCTGGACGCAGCGTCTCTGGTGATCCAGCCAGAGGACTTCCAGGCGCTCAGCACCATCGAGCCGCAGGTGGGTCTTTGCTTTCTCTCGCCATCAGAGTCATAGCTGACAAGTTGGGCATGACAGCTACAAACGAGCCTGTGGCTCCGTTGAATGTGAAGAGAGATATTTATCATACCCGGCTGGCGTTGAGACAAGAGGCCGCGTTGAGTCAATACCCTGTCGCCGCTCAGGCTCAGATGGGGTGGGCTACCGTGACCTTGCATCTTCCCAGGCCGGTTGCCCATCCCCTCACCCCCCCTGCCTGCCCGTCATGCGCCTGTTCTGGGCCCCGTGATGCACCCACCCACACATGCACCCACGCTGTCTGCCTGCCTGCCGCAGACGCGCATGGTGCCGGGCACTTTCCTAGTCGACGCTCAGAACGGCCCCTACAAGAGCCTCTCGGAGCTCTGGGACGAGTGACAAGTGACGAGGGACGAGGTCAGCATGTGTAGAGGCGCTGTCGCTAGCGCCCCGCCTGGGGGCCAATCGGGCAGGAGCGCGAGCGCCAGCCCTGCTGCGTGCTGACAGCAAAGCGGGCTGACTGTAGGATGCACTCGCAAAGAGGGTGTCTGATTCTTTGCCAGTAAGGCGCAGGGAACTTGACTGGTGTTTATAACCGGTCCATTTTTTGCTGACCTTGTTTTTTGTGTATGTATGCCGCCGAGCGCGCTATTCATGTGCGCGTGGGCAGTCCGTATGAGCTGCAACCCTGGCCGTGAATGCGCTGGCCGCCCACATAACTGGGTCCAAGGCAACTTGTGCATATCTCCTCCTGTGAGACTTGCGTGCATCACCAGCTATCATGGTAATGTGCTGACACAGGGAGGGTTTGTTGAAGTCAGCTTTGAGCACAGTTTGTGCTCGGTAACCACTGGACCATCACGCCATGAAAACCCAGCCCCAGCCTGACGAGCTTGGGGTACTGTACCTAGACCCCTTTCAGTCGGCCTCAAGGCACACGGTTTGCCTGAGGGTGTGCATGTGGCGGCCATGCAGCTTGAGTGTGCGGCCAGCAGAGGACTGCCCTGCGCACGCACGGGCTGTGGAGTGGAAAGGCCATCAGGGCAGCTCCTAGGGGCAAGGATCTGGAGAACGTGTCCCTGCGCCATCGTGCTTCGCCAGCGTTGCACCCGGGCTGGATTGGGATGTGAGGCTTGAGTTGGCATTAAGCCTTCGACCTTAGCGGCTGCCGGACCGCGGCGCCCACGCGCCCTGCCTTGCAAGGGCCCGGGTCCAAGGATTCAGTGATGGGCAGAGACAGCCCTCGGCCCGGGCGTTGCAGCTAACAGATGCCTGACAAATCTCGCGCCGAATGCGTTTGACCCTGGTGGCTGCATTTTCTGCTGGCACTGCTCAGCAGCTCGCCACATGGTGAAGGCACCGAAAGCGGCTTCCTGATCTGCCCTTTCGCGCAACACGCAAGACGCAGCTGCAGCCTTGCCGCGGTGGGCCCATGCCGAGCCCTCAGAAGGCGGGCAAGCGGGCAGCTCGCCTGAGCCCCTCGTGTGTGTAGCCCCTCCTCTTGCTCTGTCAGATGAATCAGTTACTCGGTGGCATAAAGGGCTCAAAAACAAGGAACGAGGCGGTCGGTCGGTCACTTCTTCTTGGCAGCCACCGCCGCGGCCTTCTTCTTCGCGGCCTCCTTCTTGGGGTCGAGCCCCGCCGCCACCAGCTCCTTCACGCGCTTCTCGTGTGCGCGCCGCGTCCACTTGACCTTCCCGGCCGCCGCCTCCGCGCTGCCGCCGGCCGCGCCGATCTTCTCGGAGGCCGAGGCGCTGAAGGCGTCCGCCTTGATGGTGAGCGCCTTGCTCAGGCTGCCGCTGCCGAGGACCTGCAGCGCAGCGGCGGCGGTTGTTGTGTGACGGGCCGAGCGTTTCGGGGAGAGCCGCGGAGCGTGCGCCTTCCCGAACAAACCATAACGCGTTACCCTCGTGCTGGACCGGCGCTTTTGATCGTGGAGGCGGAACCAAAAGGAGGCTCCCTCGGCGACGCCCGCTCCTCCGCGGCCCCATGCCAGCAGGCATCAGCCTGAACGCGTCAGCAAGCGAGCCGCGCGTGGCACGAGCAGGCGGCCCCTGCGCATGCCCATGCGCCGCGCCGCCCACCTTGAGGCCGAGCTTGGTGTCGCGGCCGCTGATGTTGAGGAGACCCTTGGCCTGGATCGCGTCCAAGGTAACCTCGGACCCCGCCTCGAAGGCCTTGTCGAGGTCGTCGAGGTTGACCACTACGTACTTGGGCAGGCCCGCGGACATGCCTGGGGCCGCAGGGGGCGTTGGTGTTTGGTTGGGGGTGAGAGGGACGCCAGCAACATCTGGCTTTTGGGGAGATGCCCGCGCGGGATATGCAGCAGCCATGCGCACAGGCGGGTGGAGGCAGCCGTGCTGAGGGACACGTCTGTTGGCAGGAGCACGCTTGCGGCGACGGGCCGTGCGGGCGCAGTAGTCCGAGGCCGCGGGGTGGCCCATGCAGCGGCACAGCGCGAGGCATTTCAGGCCGCGCGCGAGCTGAGGCTGCCCTCACCTCCGGCGATGCCGCGCAGCTTGGGCAGGCGGCGGTAGAGGGGCATCTGCCCGCCCTCGAAGCCGGGGCGCGTGCCTGAGCCGGAGCGCGCCTTCTGCCCGCGCGTGCCGAAGCCGCAGGTGCCGCCCTGTGCACGCAGAGAGGGGGTACCGGGGCAGGGGCGGGGGTGGGGGCCGAGGCGGAGCGTCAAGCAGGCATGGGTTGGAGAGGGGGCGTCTGCCGTGCCGCTGCGCCTGCTGCAGCCTGCGTCCCACATGACGGCCAAATGCTGCTGACGGCGCCGGCGTCACCACCTTGCTGCTGCGACCACAACTTGCCCCCCCCCAACAAGTCGACCGCCAGCCGTGGCGACACCCCTGTTTCAGGCAGCCTGAAGTTAACTGCGCGGCCCGAATGCGTCCAGCCCGCCACGGCCGCGTAGACCGTGACACGCCTGCAAGCAAGCTTGCGCCGCCTCAAGGCTCTCTCTAGGCCAGTCGGCAGCCTGACTTGGTCAAACATGGCCTGCCTGACACTGCACAGCTGCCGAGCTCTCCCCCAGCCAAACTCTTGCATAGCGCCATGACCTTGGCGCGCACCTGATGGCCACCATAGCCGCGCCCCTTGCGCTTCTCGTCCCGCCGCGAGCCCTCTTGGGGGCTCAGGTTGTGCAGGCGCAGCCGCTCAGCAGGCTCGGCGGCGGCCGCACGCACTGCTGCGCCACGCGCGGCGCGAAAAGGCTGCACACGGCATGGGGCCGCTGCCTGCGCCAGGGGCGATCCCAAGAAGGCCTTCTGCGGGGCCAGCGGTCACCAAATTGCAAGGCACCGCCGTGGACGAGTTTGCCAACAGTGAAAGGCGAGTCGGGCCGTTCAGCAAGGGGACGCGCGCGCATTGATGGCGCATAGGTTGAGCGTCAATATCAGCTTTTCCTTAACGCACCTTGCCGACCAGCATGGTGCCCAGTCCTGCTGCTGCAGTGGCTGTGCTGTGCTCCAAACACTGGCAGCCTCGCGATGCCGATAAGTTTGTACCTCAGTTGGCGAGGCTAATAGTAGGAGAGCAAAACGAAACGACGGTGCTGTTGAGGGCCCTCGCAACAGGCACATGGCAGTGCGCTGCACCAGCAGCAGCTGCAGTGCAGTGCCTGCCCGTGTGCTGCCACCGGGACATCAAAGTCCCTGGCACGCTTCGCACCTCCCTCTTTGGGCGATTAGATCCAGGCCCTTTTCCTACACAATCACAATGGTGCGAGGACAGACCGGAGAGGACGCCCGCGGCAAGGATCACTGGCTGGCTGCGGGGTGCAGCTAACACCAGCGCTTGTGTTAGAGCTTCCATCTCATACATTATTAGTTTGTTCAACGGGTGCAGCAAGCACGCCTCGATGCCCGGCCGCGGTGGCGTCTTGCTGCGGTCTGAAACTGGAAGGCCTTTCAGCACAGCATACCAGAAAGAGGATATTTGAGCCTGCTGAAACGCGCCAGCGGTGGGCTGCCACTGGTGAGCAAACGACCGACACCGACCGAGCTCGATCTGCTGCGCCGCGCCGCAGGCGAAGGCCACGGTCATCGCCAAGGGCATCACCGCCCACGGGCGGTCCAAGACCTACAAGCGGCGCGGGCTGTGGGCGATCAAGAAGAAGCACGGCGGCAAGTTCCCCACCACCCCCAAGCAGCAGAAGGCGGACGCGCCCGCCGCCAAGGCGCCCCGCTTCTACCCCGCCGACGATGTGGCAAAGCCGCTCTCTGTCCGCGCGGTGCGCAAGCCCACCAAGCTGCGCGCCAGCATCACCCCCGGCACGGTGCTGATCCTGCTGGCGGGCCGCTTCAAGGGGAAGCGCGTGGTGTTCCTGAAGCAGCTGGAAAGCGGGCTGCTGCTGGTGACCGGGCCGTTCAAGGTCAACGGCGTGCCCGCGCGCCGCGTGAACCAGGCCTACGTCATCGCCACCAGCACCAAGGTGCGCAGGGCCGGTGGGAGAAAGCGTGCGGCGGCGAACATAGCAGGAGGAGAACTTGGAGAGTGGTGCCGCATGCGAGCGCGTGGAGTGGGGCCGGGACGGCCGCGGCAGCAGCGGATGCAAGGGTATCACGCGTGCCAGGTGCAGCACGTGCGCCGGCAGCATCATGCAGCGGGGCAGGACAAGGCAAAGCAGGGGGGCCGGTTTGGCTGCTGCAGCGATTGGATGCGGCAGCCACGGCAGTCGGCTGCAGGAGGAGGTGGCGTGCACCGGATGTGGCAGTCCCGGCAGATGGGTTGAGGACGACGAGACGCCGAAAGCAGTGAATGGGACCAGCTGCTCCAGAGGACCTGTCCCTCTGTGGGCCGGGTACACTGTGAGCCGGGTACACTAGTTGAATATCAACGGCGCGCTGTGCAGCACGCTCGGAGTCCCCTGCCACCCAGCCACTGCGCGGCCAAGCATGGCCACAGCAGCCACGCAACGGCGTTCCGCTGGCGCTTATTGGACCGGCAGCTGTGGTAGCCCAACAACAGCGGCCGCAGCTGCGTGTTCACCTTGTGCCTCTCTGCCAAGCGCTTTTTGAATCCCTTATCATTGTCAGTCGAAGCAAGCATTTGCTCCTGCCCCAGCCATTCGTCCATACATCCTCCTGTCCAGGTGGAGCTGCCGCAGCTGGACCTGGCCAAGTTCACTGACGGGTACTTCAAGGCGGCGGAGGACAAGAAGGCCAAGAAGAAGGGCGAGGACGACTTCTTCAAGGTGCGCGGGGGGAGCTGTACGGTGTGTGGGTGTGTGAATGACTGTGTGTGTTTGCGTGTGTGTGAGAGAGAGACACAATGTGTGTGTTGGGAGGGGGAATGCGCGCGTGCAGGCGTGCGTGTCCGCACGATGACGATGGTCAAGCTTGAGGGAGGAAGGGTGGAGCGTGGAGGCGGCTTGGCAGAATCTTGCTGGCGTTCGGCGTCGTATACAGCAGAGGCCGCTGGTGTTTCGAGCAGTGGGAGGGCCCACGCAAACGCCAACGCATGGCGCAGACCTGACGCGCGAGCCCGCGGTTGCAGTCCCCACATGCTCGGCAACCCTGGCTCGTCCGGGCTGCCGTGCTGCAGCCTGGCGGGCCCCGCGCCGTGCGGCGCTCTGGCCGCACCCAACCACCGCGCCCCAGCCGGCAGCTGCCCCCATATGTGGCTGCGTCATCGTTCTTCCTAAACACGCACCCAACTTACCAACCCTCAGGGGGACGCCGAGAAGAAGCCCCTGGCGGCGGAGTACGTGGCCAACCAGAAGGCGCTCGACGCCGCGCTGCTGCCCGCGCTGAGCGCCGACCTCAAGGGCTACCTCGGCTCCCGCTTCACCCTGCGCGACGGCGACCGCCCGCACCTGCTGAAGTTCTGATGCGGCCGCGGACAGCGCGCGCCCCCGCTGACTCCGCCTTATACTAGGCCTGCCACGGCGCCGCAGCGGGGTTATGTGGGCGTGGGCTGAGGCGCGCGCGGGCCGCGAGTGGCCCGAGCGGCGGGCCGTGGCGCCCCCCGCGGCTGACGAGGCGCGGGGCTGCGGCGGCGTCAATGGTTTGGGCTGCTGCGGGGGCAGCTGCTCTTGTGCCCTGTTGAGGGGTTGGGCAGGACTGCATCCAGGTGTAAGATTTGCCAAGGATCAGGGGTGTGCAAGTAGGATTACGGACTGAGGGGAGGGGACACGACGGGATGCAGTCGCGAAGGTCGGCAGCGGCGTGCGGGCACAGCTGCAAGCGTGGGGCTGCAGGGGAGCAGGGCATCGACAGGCAGGGCAGCTCAGGAAGTGCAAGGGGGGGGAGTAACGATCAAAGTGATGGCAGGGCTGCCAGGTGGCATGAGGAGCAAGAGCCAGCTGATGTGACCTTTGACCCGGGCCTGCTATAACTGCCTTTGCTGCACTCTGCTTGCTGTCGGGAGCGGCCTGCAAACGCACACCCAATGCGTTCGTTACCAGCAATACACAGGCAGGTCATCGCTGGCTTTCAGAATCGATAATCAGCGTCGCTGCCGAGTGCCATCTCGGGTGCCGGCCAGGTTCCCGGCAGCGGCGGCGGCGCATCAGTGAGGGCCCGCAAGCCACTGCTGCGGGCGTTATCTGATGGTTATCAGCGCTCTCGAGTGACAGGTATACATAAAGCCACGCTTCCACCCCACCTTTCATGTCAATTACCATTACTTCGTTCGACGCGGCACCCGTCAACAGGTCGCATTCCCTTCCCAGATCCAGGATAGCGCGCGGAAATTTTACCCGCGAGCTGACCACCCATACACTCCGCAATCGACCAGCTCCTCCAGCGTGATGAAGTCCCTCGCGTCCTCAGGTGAGGCATCCGCGCGATCAGGCCCGCAGGCGGCATGAATAGGACCCGCGAGCCTTCAGTGTGTCACCAGCTTCACGCCAGCTGCATGCGCAGTGACTGCCCCTGGCAAGCCTTCTCCCTGTCTCATGAGACCGCACAACCCCACCCTCATCTGTACTCCGCCGCAGCTCTGCTCGTCCTGCTCTGCGTCGGCGCCGCCGCGGCCGCTCCAGCGCGCCCCGTCGCCGTCGGCCCCCCCGGCGGCCGCCGGCTGCTCGGCCAGAACACCCGCATCGCCCTGGGCCTCCTGAGGCAGCACTACTTCGCCAACCTCTGGCTGGCGCGCAACGGCTACGCGGCCCCGGCCGCCGCCTCCGCCACCGCCACCGCGACCGCGACCGCCAACGGCGGCATCCCCAGCGTTGACCCAACCCTCACTCGTTACGTCGGCTCCGACGCCAGCGCTGCCGCGCGCGCCATCGCAGGCGGGATGGACCCAGACACCGCGGCCTGGTCCCTCCTGGATTCGGCACGCGCGGGGAGCGCGGCGTCCGTCGGCGACGTGTTTGCGCTCACCGCCAGCCAAAACCAGGGGTCGTTCGCCAACCTGTACGCGCGCGCCGGTGCGATGGCCATGGCGGAGGGCGGGGACCTGCGGAGCGGCTTCGTGTCCGCCACCGCCGCGGCGTTCGCGGCCGCGCAGGCCCGCGGCGGCGTGGGCCAGTTTGCGCTGGGCACCGCGGACGCGTTGGCGCAGGCGCGGGGCGCGTGGGGCGACCGCTTCGGCTCCGGATTCGCTGACCTGGTGAGTCGCTGTTTTTGTGTCGGGTTCTGAGCTGGCCCTGGGCTTCGCCCTGCTCCCATTGCCACAAGTACATCCCTGGATCACAGTAGCAGGGAATTTTGACCGCTGCGCTACCCTCACTTTTCTTGTCCTGCAAGATTTTTAATGCTCTCTCATCGCAGCCTCGCTCGCGGCCCTCCCTCCGCCCCCATCCGTCCAAACTCGTGTGCCCTCCTTGTCCCTGCACCCTTCCCCTCGCTCTGCCAGTTTGGCGCGGCTATGTCCCAGGCCATCGCGTCAGGCAACGACGGCGCCGTCGTGGAGGCCACCGCCACCGTCCTCTGCCGCGGCAGCGGCGCCCAGGCCCAGGCGTGGAGCGAGGCCGTGTCCAAGACCGTCGCGGCCGACCCCGCGACCGGCTGCCTGTTTGTGCAGCGAGTCGTGGCGCGCGCGCAGGCGTCTTGCAACAACGGCGCAGCAGTCGCCCTGGCAAAGAGCTTTGTGACCCGCCGCATCCTGCCGGGCAC